GAAATTTTGCAATAATCTTGCGCCACCCTTGCACAAAACGACGATCATTTTTCTAATTTCATAAACAACAGAAGACTGTATTTTTTCTACATAACACCAACCCCACCCTGACTTTAAAGCTGGATCCGCCCCTGGTTCAAACTGCCCATATTTCTTAATTGAATTTGTTTTGGCTTGGTAAATGGGATTTTGAATTCTCTATTCAGTGATCTTGAGATATGGCAAAAAAGGAGGCGTCATGTTTGAGCAGATTCTTAAATTATACATAACATCTTCCAAGTTATGTTTTACTACAGAAATATTTTATTCAGTGGTGTAGAAGCGGGCTCAATTTGCTTGTGAGATATGATCAAAGATGGTGGCGTCATGTTTGAAATGGGGTTTCAAACTCCACCTTCAAATCAACCACTTAATTGGGGTTTTAAATCCGCTATCCAATAGTGGCACATCTAACTCAGTAGCTCGAATAGTTCTTGCGCTACGACGAAAGGGCGGCGTCATATATAACTTTTTCGAAAATTCGTTTTTTATGTAAAACCAAAAAAATTGTCCCAGTGCTGTTTCATTTCAGAAATTTGCATTGAAATTCTCTATCTAGTGGTGCAGAAACAAGCGCGGAAGCTCAATTTGTTCCTGAAATACGAACAAAAAGCTGGCGTCATGTTTGAAGTAATGACCATTTCCTTTACCTAAATGTGTAATATTTTGGATGTATTTTTTGAGTAAAAACTGCTAATATTTTCTAACTCAAAGTTCCACTTGGTAAAGATGCTTTTGAATTATCCATTCAGTGGATCCAACATTTTTTGGCTTCAGATGTTTCATTTAGTCAATTCTGCTCACTGAGCGTCTTCGCTCTTTGTTAAAGCGGAATCAAATTCTTTGATGACTTTATTAATTAGAACATCCACTGCAACATTACAAATAAGTACATTAATCAATTTAACAACAATTAAACAGACGTATTATTGTTGAGAGTGTGAATTTTCCACTCTGTGCATACTCTAAAGAAACACTTCACACAGGATCATAAAAATATGATAATTAAATTTAGCTAACTGAATCTACTATTAAACATGTATTTAACACATGGTTTTGTAAATGTATTTAGAGCTAATTTCACAGCTGAGTGCATTTTTCTGTCTATTAACGAGAACTTCAACAATACAAAAACGAACTTCTTCAAGCAATTCAAACACATTTTCCTTTAACAATTACTGCGGCTTATTCGAAAAACTGTGAATTCCATTTACTTTAACTTCACCTGGTGTGCGTGCCGTCAGCAAATAAATATAATCCTTCTCACGCACTAACTGTACTAGCAATACCACCACAACTCCAATTTGATGTAACAGGAATAAAATCTGCTATTTTTGCGCTACGAAGAAAACAGCAAAAACTCCTGATGCTGCAGCCAGCAAAAGAAGTGAATGCGTGCTGCTGATTTGCAAACACGCGAGTTGAAGAATGTGTTATTCGTGATTTACATCGTTTTTACTCTAGCCGTAGCAGCTACTTGGTAATTTCAGGTTTAACATACCAAAAAAAAAAATTGAGATAGACATTGATCATTAGGTACAAGTTCGTATAGACAATTTTCCATTGGTCCAAAATGTAAAAATTCGGAGATTGTTAAGAAACTTAAAACATTTTTAGAGTGATCAGGGTGTATTATTGTATGTATATTACTTATTCATTGTATCTTTCTCTTCATTTCTCTCTCTTTGATAGGAATAAACGTATATATCAATTGTATCAAATCTTAGAGGAAGTTATTT